ATTAATCCCTCTTCATTGCTGATATTCTGTTTTATCAAGAGTGCTTAATTTGAATATCTACAAATAAAATCAAAACCAACAAGTATCCTAATCCTAATGTATTTTACAAATATTTTCTAAAATACACAATGACAGTGACCACATTTTTATGCTTAGCTAAATATTGTTGGGCTACAAAATTGAAACATATTATATTTTGGCAAAAGATAATATGTTAAAATTTAAATATACGGTATTATACTTTTGCCAAAAGATAAAAATAGTTAAACTTGTTTTTTTTCTACCTGGATTACAGAGATGCATTGCCTAAAATACACAATGACAGTAAGCATATTTATATGCTTAACTAAATATTCTGGGCTACAAAATATATGAAATATATTGTTATGGCAATATTTATTTAACAAAGACAGAAATACGTGGTCCAAGAATGAAGTTACTCCGTGAGATGATCAGCTGAGTTTTATTGCAACAACAGGAAACACTGAGAACAACCTGGCCTGTCTCTGTGCCTCTCTGTCAGTCCACTTTCCTACTGTGTCCACTGTTGAACACTGTGTCACTCACTCGAGAGGCCTCATTGATATATATATTAACAAACACTATAATGTCATCTTAGCAAGATTTGATACAAGGTCAACGGAAAACACAAAGATAAACACAAGTGATATCTAAGAATGACTGTTAGCAAATCTTGTTCTGACTTTAATCATTCTATCTGCAGATGAACAGCATGTCATGAAAATCTAGGTCATTAAAATATGTTATGAATTATTGGCTTAAACATAAAAGTAGTAGTTCCATTACAATATCATATTATTATATTTTGCTAATTTAATGGGTCTTGCATCTAAGATTTTGTCATTTTCGTCTCTTGGTTTAGTAGATTTGCAATAAGTGCTTTGATTGGATGATTTCTGTGATTGGCTGGTGATGTGGTTCATTTACAGTACATATAACGTTTGGATTGCGAGTGCATAGCGCTGTGAGTGAGTCGAGGGGAAGCTGAGAGGAGGGGGAAGGAACCGCACGAGCAGGCGCAAAGTTAAGAGGAGGGAGGGAACCGTGCGAGCAGAGGTAAAGTTGAGAGGAGGGAGAGAAGGAGTCGAGCACAAGAAGGAAGAGAGTTGAGCAAGCAGGGAGCGAGCTGCGTGAGCGTGTGTGCTGTTTGAATGCACACGGTTCAAATTATTGTTTGTTCATATTGATATCTGCTCTCAAATCAGTGTTACTGTGCACGCAAGCCGATGGCACAAATGTAACGCGATAGTTTTCTGGATGTAAGGAGCGTCTGAACATGGGGTTAGATTTTTATTTTAGTTCGAGTTTTTATTGTTTAAACTCGAACGATCATGAAACTGAACCTTGGGACTGAGAATCATTTAACCTCAGACAAGAAAATAGAGCAGCCTAAAAATGATCGAAGTACCTCTGTCCAGTCTGTAAACTGTAAAGATTTTATGTTGTTGTCATGTAGTTGGAAACGCGCCTGCGAGGCGCACACACAGCTGAGGAGAATAAAATGTATGAATTATCTAAGAAACATTTTGATTCTCACTGAGAAAAAAACTTTGTCAACTCAGCAGATTAATTCAGATCAGCTCAGCTGTGATGATTCCTCAGCTCCACAGATGCAGACAATAAATTTGTTGCTGCGTAAAGTTGTGCATAATTTATGGATCAATGTCAACTGTTGTGCAGGTTGATATCCCCATAAGAACAATTGAGGACAGCCTGTTTTTTATTTATTTTTGTCACACCAAACAAATTACTATCAGGTATTTTACTGTNTTGTGCATAATTTATGGATCAATGTCAACTGTTGTGCAGGTTGATATCCCCATAAGAAGAATTGAGGACAGCCTGTTTTTTTTTTTTTTTTTTTTTTCACACCGAACAAATTACTATCAGGTATTTTACTGTAGTTCTGAGTCGAGCCATGCAGCTGATCTGAATGAAAGACTTTGATCATGATTCCAAAATATAAATCCCACACTGCGGCAGAAACTTGCGGCGCCGTGACTCGTTTCTTCCCATCAACTATTTAATAAATATTTTTTTAAGTTCGACCAAACTCATAAGTTCGTCTTTGTTTAGTCATTTAAGAAAGACGTGGAAAGGTGGAAATGTCTGTCAGCCTCATGCGCTGCTGAAGACAGCAGCTTCACACACGCGCGTACACACCAACACACACACACACACCTTTGCGTGTGGCAAACTCATTTTTACACCCCACCACTTATTTAGACAGTTTTTTCACTCATTCTCCATTTAATTATATTTTCCTATATCTGAAAATCATTTCTAATCCCACAGAGAGGACAATCTGAGGAGAATCTGACACACTGGACACATTTACATCTATTTTACATATTTAAATGGAGGCGTGTCATGGAAGGTATCTCACGTGCGCTCTGTTCCACCTTCATTGGGATGTATAAAGGAAAGGTGCGCAGGAACCTGCGTGCGCACGGTTTTATACATCTGAATTTTTTGGTGCGGCGCACTTTTCTAAATTTGTCCGTATGCCAACTTTTAGTGTGAAAGCTGTGCAATCCTTTATGCATGAGGCCCAAGGTTYTTTAAATTCACTCTGAAAATACAGCAATGTACCAATACTGGAAAATGTTATTTGTAGTTTTGAATACCTGAGTACTTTTAAATGCATGTACTTTTGAATACTTAAGTATTTTCAAAAGTAAGTACTTCAGTACTTTAACTTGAGTAGATATTTGACAGAGTAACTTGTACTTGAAGTTGAGTAGATTTGACCCTGAGTATCAATAGTTTTACTTAAGTACTAAAGTTGAGTATTTTGTCCACCACTGATCATTTGCTATTTTGTATTTTATGGAGAATTTTTTTTTTCCCAAATAATTGCTTTTTCTTTTTCCAGGTTCCAGTCCAGATGATGAGAATGGAAGAAACACACTTTCAAACCTACTATGACCAGGCAATTAACACCTCAGTCCTCCAGCTTCCTTTCAACAACTCCTTCTCCATGCTGCTGATGTTGCCTGATAACATGATGACCCTGGAGAACGCCATCTGTCCAGATCATGTTACCAAGTGGTTGAAGTGGATGAAACCCAAGTTGGTAGAAGAAGGTTTCACCTAAATGTTTTTTTTTTGACACTGCAGTCTTCAAATTATCTTTATCTAAATTTTAGGGAGTACAACATCTACGTTCCAAAGTTTTCCATCAAGACGTCCTACAAGCTAAATAATGTGTTGAAGGACTTGGGAATGACAGAGATGTTTGCTCGGGCAAATCTGACAGGGATTTCAGAAGAGAAAGACCTGACAGTCTCTGAGGTAAGGATCAAAACATTCTGCTGCTGCACACATCTTTGTCTTTATRTGGTCAATCTACCTCCAGCTCACTCTGCTTCATTGTTCTGTAAGGTTGTGCACCAAGCTGCTCTRGATGTTGAYGAGGTTGGAGCCACCGCCGCTGCTGCAACTGGGATCGGCATCAMACTTCTGTCCTTCCRTTTTGTCCCAGAGCTGAAGTTCAATCGTCCGTTCATGTTGATGATCCTTGAGCGCAGCACGAAAAACATTCTTTTCATGGGCAAGATTGTCAACCCCAACCTGTGACGAAGGAACGCATTCTTCAAACACAGCTGATGCTTAAAATATAAAGTTCAAAGAAAAACTTTTGTCTGATGTCTKTTTTGATAAATRCATGGAAAGATACAATGAGGAGATGSCAGAAATAAACCTTGACTTTTGTATTTAATACTAAATTGATGTAGCCAATGTATTTGTGGGATTCACCARTTAATAAAGGAAAAAACAATCCATACTGACTTTTTAGATTTCTCTTCMTGGATTGAGATTCAGAACACCARTTTTGCATTTTATAGATTTTAATTTTACGGCTGACTTTATCCTTATGACTGGTTGTTTTTACAGGTTGCTCTAATCGGTGAAGCTTAAACTTCACATCATAAAATTCTAATTTAGTTTTAATAGAAAATGAGTTTTAAGTTTGTGAAAMTGAAGCCAGAATGCTAATAAAGAGTTAAAACAGATGCAATTAAACAGTGAAGAAAAATGCCATCTTGACACCAAACAGCTTTTTTAAAGACTGCCTGTCCATCCGTTGTCTTCCTCTTATCCGGGTCAAGTCCTGGGGACAGCAGCCTAAGSAGTGAGACCCAGGCTTCCCTCTCCTCAGCCACTTGGGCCAGCTCTTCTGGGGGAATACCAAGGCATTCCCAGGCCAGCTGAGAAACATAGTCCCTTCAGCGTGTCCTGGGTCTTCCTCTGGGCCTCCTCCCAGTGAGACGTGTCCGGAACACCTCACCAGGGAGGCATTTGAACCAGATGCCAGAGCCACCTCAACTGGCTCCTCTCGACGTGGAGGAGCAGCAACTCTAAGTCCCTCCCGGATGACCGACCCTATTTCTAAGGGAGAGCCCAGACACCTTATGGTGGAAAATCATTTTGCCCTGTGGATCTGGGTCTCTGTGTCTGTGCCTGGTTCTGCTCCGGTGTGGTGGGGGCCGGCGGGGCCTGTGGTCATAGCTGTTGGCCCTGTGGGTTCTGCCTGTGGTTACTGATGGGGCTCTCCTGGTTCTCCTTTGTGTTCCTCTCAGGGGGTGGGTTGGTAGTTCTTGCTGCGCGGGTGACCTTAGGGGCTCAGTGCTTGTGGTCTCTCTCGGGGTCTGTGGCTCTGGTTCTCTTTATGTCTGCCTTGGGTCTTGGGGGTCAGATCTGTGGTCCTCCACAGTCACTATTTAATATTTCATTGGAGAAATCTTGTATTTAAATGCATGTTCACAACCACACAAAAATAGACATTTGGATCCTGGGGTTTCTGATAATCACTGGATGTATATATGTGTGGGTGTATGTGTGTATGCAAGTATGTGTGTATATGTGTATGTTTGTATGTGTACGTGCCTGATTGTGTGTATAGGTGTGTGTTTTGTGTATATTAATTAACGAGGCTTTAATTATTGTTGTATATGTTTATATATGTGAGTATGGGTATATGTACATACATCTGTTTAAGTTTGGTTGCTGGGTGTTTGTTCTCTTCTTTTGCTGATGGTCAGATGTTGGGTGTGGTGTCTTGAATGTTATTGGTGTTCATTTCACATATTGTATAATTTCTATTGGTTTCTCTCTTTACTGTTCTTATATTTCTCTTTTTCTTTTTTTTCCTTACTATACTGTAGTATAAAAAAGCCACTGATGATGCAGAAATTAAGAAACTAACATTCAGTTTTGTTTTCTACTGAAAAGGGGAAAAAAGGACTATAGAACAATTTGGAAAATGATTATAAAAGCATTGGATCAGTTAATTCCTTTAAAAAGTGATCAAAGCAAAATTGTTAAAGAAAAATTAAATTGTTTAATTTGTATCTGAGTCACTTTGAGGAGTTGAATTTTTTCGTTTTGTTTTATTTGGTTTATTGTTTGAAATTAATATTTTTTTGTAAATAGAAGCAGATATAAGATATTTTTCTTCTTCTGATACCTTTTATTTTATTTGTATTGTTTTGTTTTATGTAATGTTTTGTTTTTAAATGAAATGAATAAATACTATAATCTAGAAAAAAAAGATCTGTGACAGGGTCACAGATCATTTTCCTGAAAAAACCGACACATTTTATGATGTAGGCCGAAACTGAGCTTCCTCTTCTTGAAAGACTAGCATCCGCCACTGCTGTGCATGTGTGGGTTTTCTCCAGGTACCCTGGTTTCCATGACTGTGAGGCTAATTGGTAACTCTAAACTGTCCTTAGGTGTGAGAGAGAGACTGAATGGTTGTTTGTCTCTATTGGCGTTTACGTATTGCAGGGCCGGCCCCGGCCCGACTTATAACCCAGGTTCATTGGTTGTGTATAAGCATAGGAGGGCCGGATCCCGCCCGAGTTCTGGAACCTGGCCAGGCGAGGTTCCAATCGGGCCGGCCTGGTTTGACGACTTGTTTGTTTTGCTCTGACGAGTCAAAATGAGTCTGGCAAATCATTAAAAATCATATAGATCTATGAAAAAGCAACTTCTTTCATAACGGTAGCATGTAACAAGCTAATATTGCTAGCTTACTCGTTGATGCCGTCTGCGTCTCGCTATAGCCACTTTCTGTTGCATGACCAAGTACAGCCTTCGGAAACTCTCCGCTCTTCTGCACATCACCATTCGTCGTCTCACTCGACGTTTAAGGACCGTTATGCGCGCTTTCCCGGTAAACAGTTCCCACCCACTTCGAGGCGGCTCTGATGACAGTGCAAAACATCCAGGGCTGGGTAGTGCCGGACCTAGGCCATCTTCTCTGTAGTGTGTAAACGCCTTATGTGGCACTGTGATGGACTTGCAACCTGTCCAGGGTGTACCCCACCCCTCACACTGTGAGTGCTGGATATGAACCCCAGTGACCCAGAAAGGAAGAAGCAGGTTAAGACAATGGATGTTTTGATCAAGTACAAATGAAATAAATCTACTATTTGATTCTCATTCAGCATAAAACAGTGTTTGCAATCACCTCAAAAAGCTGCTGTTAGAGAAATAAAAGGTAAAATCTTTTCAAAGTTACACAAGTTTACAGAACAGCTTATTGTATCAAAACAGCCACAGCTGTACAAACTCTCCAAGAGGTTTGGAATTCACTTAGCAATGCATCATCCTGTTTCCACTAATCAGCTCTATCACAGCTTGAAACGTTATCATCATTGGTCCTCTTCAGTTCTAGAAAGGTTCCTAACCGTTGGGAAACATTTAAAGTTCAGTGTGGCTCTCATTTTTTTTTTTCCTGCAGGGCGAGCTCAACGGACACAAGGGGCTCGTTCCTTCCAACTTTCTCGAAGAAGTGCCTGATGACGTTGAGGTTTTTCTCACTGATTCACCATCTCGCTACCCCCAGGACACTCCTGCACAGATAGGGTACAGTACATGCTCCTTCGCAGTACTAGCCCTCTGTCATCTATTTACTTATTTTTTATGTTCCCTCAATCTTCTTTAGTCTTCTATCTGTCCATGTGTCTCACTGAGCAAAATACAAAGGGATTTCTGACTTTAAAAGCATCACCCTGTAAATAACTAGATAAAAAAAGAAACTTTAAAACTAAAACTTGACCAAGATATTTTCATTTTTTTTCATGTTTACTACTGTGAAACGGGGAAGTTCTGCATTGAATAACAAATGGATTTATTGTATTCATAAAGCATTCTCTGTGAGATTAAAGCTGATGGGGGAAATGCTCCTGACTTTTTAACTTATGTCTTTAAAAAATTAAAAAAAAAAAAAAACAGCAGCTAATACTTTTTGCACATGCCTATGTAACATTGGATCATATGCTTTAATGAATATACTCTGTGTTTGAATTAATTTCTAATAGAGTAAATAGTTTTGTTGTACTGACAGATGAACTATGTAGTCTGTAGCTCAGCATGGTATATAGTCCAGATGCATGAACGTTTTATATGAAGATGAGCCTAGCATAGTACAACTTTTGTATCTGCTCCTGAATGCCTTGTTTTGTAAATTGCTTTCTTGTAAATTAGCAAGCAAAGGTCACTTGCTACCAGAGAATAAATTCAGGATTTATTTCCCAAATGTAAATATGTGATGTTATTTTTGTGTTTAACAAATAATGCAGTTGTTTAAACTATTTGTAGTTGTCATCAGATGTTTCCTTCCTTCTGTTCTAATTTGCCATTGTCATAGTGCTAAATATTGAAATGCCATCACCATATTTTTTATTTCTTTTTCTCACCTGCTTGGCAAAACAGAAGAAGAGTGTTCATTTCACACCTTAAAGGCTCTGTTTCCGTCACGTAAGTGAGCAACTGAGGATACCAAGATTACGCTCCTCTCGTCTAATGCAGATGGCATGGGTATCCTTAGTTTCTGGTATGCAACATGTACACTGTATGACATTCCTTTCAGTGCTGCTCAGTTCTGGTTTTATCTTTGTTCGAACAAAACATTCAACATATTTTCTTGGGTGGACATCGTTACCCTAGGCAATGCATTAGACCAGTGGTTCCCAAACTTTTTATCTTCTGACCCACAAAATATGCATTGCAAAAACTTGTGACCCCAAATATTACTGGTCTGAGTACACAAACTTCGTTAATAACCCTAAAAACACAGGCTTTTTGACAATCTAAACAGCTTGTACACTGTCATGGACTATTTATATCTGTTTCACCTTAACACTGTCCATCACTCATATCTTTCTGATAGCTCATTTCGCTCTCGATGTCTGTTTGTTTCCCAACGTCAGGACTCAGCAATGGACTGAACTCTCTTGGTTGATAACAGACTCTTTGGGCTGGGAGCCCAGTCATAGGCTGGACAGTATATTTGGCAATCTGT